ACGTTAACATACAGGGCTATAGACTCAGGTCGGTCGTGTGTGTGTGTGATAGAGTGAACATCCATCCTATAATACACATACATCTCCAGACTAGACAATTGGCAGCACGGAGGGCGACACTTCTTAGCAGTGGCTTTCATATCTGGAGCAGGCTGATTGAGACTAATGGATACAACATGGGCTTCAGAAATGGCTTCCACATGTGCGCATGTGTGTGTGGTAGATAGAATGTTACATTGTTTTATATGGAGTGTATATATTTTGTGTGTGTGTGTTCCTGGTACAGTAAAGTGTTGGGGACATTTTTAGTGAAAATACCGTCCATGTGGGGACACATTGTGCTTGTGGGAACTTTTTGAGTCAGACGGTACTTTAAGACTTAGTTTTGAGTTAGAATTAATATGGACATTTCTAATATTAAGTCTATATTTGTTATTGTTAGGGTTTATGGCAAGAAATGTATTGTTTCTATGTAAAGTGCTTACAAAGCACAAAAACCTGTCTACTTTATGTACGTGTCTGTTATGGTAGAGGTAAAGGTGTTGACAGAAATATAGTTTAAAAAAAAAAACAGTTCTTCCCAGACCATGTTACACAATCAGGCAATGTAGAAATCCTCATTTGCAGACAGAGCTACTTGTCAATATTAAAAATATGTTAAATTTACCTTCATATTCAGTCATAATCTTTACATTGTTCAGTATGTAACAGTGTGTTTTAACAACTTTTTTTTCTATTTTTGATTTAGGTTGATTAATTATTATTTATATATAAATTAATATAAATAAAATAATTATATATTATATAGCTTTCTGCAGTTTATGGATTGTTAATTAAAAAGAAAAAAGAAAACAGCACAAGTTACGCCTCCTGTAGAAGTGTCCCATTTGTAGCGACAAGTTACGTGTGGGAAGAAATACAATTGAGATTTAAAAGATTATGACACTTCTCATAAGACAGAAGGTGCATGAAAGACAGGGGACAGATGGAGTAGGTAGGATAAATAAGCATAGCCGGGAAGTGTCGAGTCCATGCACAGGACGTGGTTAGATTTGTGTGCGTGTGAGTGTGTATGTGTGCGTGTTTATCAAACCCAGCTGGCTCTCATTTGCCCAGGAATGAATCTGCACCTCTCAGAGGCCCAGGCCTGCCTGGCTTTGAAGGCCTTTGTGTAGTATATATATGTGTGTGTGTGTGTGTGTGTGTGTGTGTGTGTGTGTGTGTGTGTGTGTGTGTGTGTGTGTGTGTGTGTGTGTGTGGGTGTGGGTGTTGTGTGTGTGTGTGTGTGTGTGTGTGTGTGTGTGTGTGTGTGTGTGTGTGTGTGTGTGTGTGTGTCTTTATATACGTTGGAGAGAGACAGAGAAGGAGAAGGAGAGGGAGGGGGCAGAAGATTGAACTAATGAGAGTATTCTGAGTTATTGGTGAACAAATTTAAACTCCAAATATTAAGACAAAGCCTATATTTTATATGCTGCTCCCTTTATGTGCTACATTTAAATATGCACACACTCATCCAAGCTGTTTCTGGGTTTTCACGAGCCTGCACATGGACCCCTAAACAGTCTCAAGAGGTTGGATTTAACTGCTTCCAGATGCAAGTTCACGACAGAGCGTACACCAACACGTAGAGACAAAGTCTTCTGCTTTTGTTGAAGTCAGCAGAACTGGTCTATTTGGATAAATGCAGTGTTGGTTGATGGGAAATGACACGGGAAAAGCCAGGTTGATTAGAAGTAGAAGGACTTGATTTTGTCTGACAATAAGAAAGAAAAAGGGGGGGGGGAAATCACACATAAAACTTGTTGTCTGACAGAAAAGTTGTGTCCTTTTTTTGTCTTCCCACAGATGTGGTCCACACCTACATGGAGCCCCTCATATTGAGGTCAAACGGCACCGTGATAGACCAAGAGGACGCGTGTAATCGGATCCTGCCGCACTCTGAGCTGACAACACCCAACAGGAGTATCACATGTGAGTCAATCGTGCCTCATCACACACATGAACACATGCAGAGCGACTGGTGGGAGTTGTATTTCCATTACCTATCGCTGCTGTGATGATTCACATTATTCTGACCTTTAAACAAACACATTTGCACACTATGAAGAAAGGGCTGCGGTCGTCACATATCAAACAAAGACTTAAATATACGGACATTTCCAGTTAATTGGATTATGTTGCTGAATTTAAACACAACACGTCTGCACTATATCATCCCGGTGCTGGTACTTTCTCCTTCTCTTCTCCATACTTTGTTTTTTTTTTTTGTTTTGTTTTTTTGTTAATTGTTAGAATTGATCGCCATGACAATAGTCACTCACAACAATGTGGATGTTGGTTCCATTGCTCAGTCCCGTTAATTATTTTAGGGTCCACTGGGCATCGAAGCAGTGGGCGAGTAAAATGAAATCCCCCAAAGTCAATCAATCAGTACGAATGTCCTTACATCACATTAGGACACGGTTGTTCCACTAGCTTTGATAATCTGTTTATTCAACTTGTCTTTCTAAAATAGTAAAAAAATAAGTTTTGGGATTTGCTCACTATATTTACATATGAACAAAATGGAAATTTAGAGAAATTGGGATTCGTTCTGTTTTCAAAAGAAATTATACTTCATATGAAGCAAATGTCAGAACTTCTAAATATAATTGAGCATAGTTGAGGTAGAGTTTAAGAATGAATCACATTTCCATAGACATTGACACGCCTCCTGAAAAGAAAGCCAAATCTGTTGTGTTATAATTCACTTGAACCTTTTGGACAGACAAACATGTTTTCCATTAGCAGACTAAATTCTATTTGTTAAACATAAACTAATTTAGAAGTCAAAATCCTTTGTGTTACTAAGCATAAGCTAGCAAAGAATTAGTCCCATCGCCATCTGCTATCAATAGGATTGAACAAATATTTAGAAAATCAGTTCAAGTCTGCGTGCTCAAAACCAAAGCGGAAACTGCTGCTGAATGTGTGTGGTATTGGATAAGAAACTGTCATGGTGTTCTAAAAAAACACAACCACATGGGTTTAGATGTTACTGTGACGAGTCCACTGCTGCTTAGAGATGTTCCTGGAGATTTTATCAGGGCAAAAAAAAAAGGAGAAAGCTTTACGTTTAATCCCTTCACCCTGTCAGAGATGGAGACTTGTCATATGATAAGATGAGTCAGAGTTTCTGTTTGTTCATGGGAAGCTTAAAGAAATTTGACAGGCAAAACATTTGCAGTTGTACCACTAATGAAAATGCATTTTTTCCATCAGATATCAGTGTCAGATATGTCACTGTAATTCCACAGATTTGTAATCAGCCTTTATACTTTGCAAATGATACAAGCAGGTTTCAACAGACTGGTGTTCTGCAACCTTCAACACCAGAAGAGATCATTTAAACAGTCAGTAAAACTGAAAGCTGCATATACTACAACCATTTATTTGTACTGTAGTAATACTACCGATTGATAAAGATGTACAAAAAAGAAAACTATTGAAAAATTATTGTGATCTGTTTTACCACAGACAAATCAGACTGTGATCAATTCTAACACCAGAATAACACCATATTTTGAGTTAAGATGAGAGTCTTTTTTTGCTGTTAGCAAGCAAGCTTTTTTGTAAAAAAGAAAAACTGTGTACCTATAATACTGGTCTGAAGTATTTTTTAACTCAGTCAAAGAGGCTAAAGAGCTGAATGTGGCTCAGTAACCACAGGTTTCAGAAACCTGTAATAAACCTGAGAATGTGTAGTTTTCACATCTGCGCAACAAAAATGTCTGAGCAGCAAAATCTGAAAACTGACCTCTGCAAATTGATCTTAAAGAAAAATCTAAAAAGATGGAAGATATTAACCTGTGATAATTTCTTCGTGAGCCTCTACTTTATTCGAGACACATGCGAATATAAAAGTACAAAAAATAACCGTTCTTTGTGTTTCTGGATCACAAATAGAGTTGTGAAATTTGTGTTTCTGGATCACAAATAGAGTTGTGTGTGCATTGACAAATTACAGGTATTAGATTTTATTGCCTTTATTTATTGCAGAGGTTCTTACGAAAACATGGGCTTTAACCTTGGGATAAAACTACTGTGTGTGTGATGTTAGATTCAATTTCTTTTTTCTGAAACAGAATCCAGATTCTTCACTTCACACGTCCACTCTTTGATGTCAGTGAAACCATGTGTTTGACCCATCCTTTAATGTTGGTTCTATAACAAAAGAATGCCATTGGAGGTGTCAGACAAACAGGCAGACGGATGACTGTTGCGTGTGTTTTATTTACCCTCAGCGTTGCAAGTCTAAACTTCTTCCCAGATTTTCCAGCTGTCTATCGAGTGCAACTCCACCTCAATTAGCTGTTTGGGGATAAGCATCTCAACACCTGAACAAAACTCCTGTCTGTGGAATATCACCAACAAGTCCCTGCATCAGTTCTTAGACTCTTTTCTGTACTTCTGAAGACCAACGTCCTCAATTACACCGCCCTTTTTTTTTTTTTAAACTCCAGCTACATTATGTTGAACCTGTGCCAGTAACCCAAAATCACAGTAAAAATGTAAATGCCCCAGAGGTTTCTAAACAGGCTGCCTGTCATTCAAACGGGAGAAAATAAAAAAAAGGTGAATGTAAAGAAGTGACGAACCAAAAGCGAAGCTGAGGGGTGACAGGAAGGTTGAGTAAGCTGACATCTGAGCATGTGTTAGAAAACAACCCGGGTTTTTCCTGGAATCTGGGGCCGGCCATGGGTGACATACACAGACACACAAACCTGCTCCATCATAATAGCTAGTTTGTGGCGACTGAAAAACCAGCAATTCAGTCAGGAAATGGATAAGTAGGTGAAAGGAGTACGTCCTGAGCTGAGTAGGTGTGTGAATTATCTCTCTGCTGTTCCAGTCTATTTCAGGCCTGGGGCGAGGAAGCCTGAGGTTTCTGGGTAGGGGGGTTTTTTTTCTGATTCATTTTACATCCCAATAAAATCCATGAAGCCCACCGGCTCCATATGCTGCACAGTGAAGGTTATGTAACGGCCGTAGGCCTGGACAAAATGTACCGTCATGACCACCAGCCTCTCCACTTGCTTTCATGTGTCTCCTCCTTTTATCCATCCATTTCCTCCCTCTACATTTTACACAATCACAAGAGTGTTCATTTCAAATCAAACCTCCAACCTAAACATGGCTGAGCTCTAAACTTTATCCTCCTCTCAGGTGAGCACAGTCTGTTTGTTTGCAGACATAATTATACGTCTGTCTCACTCTGCGCCAGCGTGCCTCTATTTTTTTTTTACTTTTGTCACCGCAGATGTGGTTTGCGTTTCCTCATATAGCCCTTGTTACCTCCAAATCAGTTTAGATGCGCTCCATTTCGTCCGCGACGGATCAACAAATCATCATCAGTTTTGCTGTTGTTTAACTGTGTGTGAAGACTCATTATAAAGTAGCTGTGAGTCAGGTTTGCGGCGGGGGTCATGACTGTGCAACATCTGCACATCTGTGTGTGTGTGAGCGTGAAGAAGTACACACATACAAACAGAACGGCAATCTGCCTCGAAGTGATGACATCAGAGCTATAGTATGCGTCTGGCCCAGGGTTTACGACGAGCCGTCTGATAACAATGTGCAGAGAGAAAGAGCTGTTAGCATGTGTGCCTGGCTGTCATGACCTCTCACACACACACACACACAAGCAGAAGTCACTGATGTCATGCCTGCATTACCGTCTTTGACGTCACGGCCGCAGCAGGATACACATGCTGACACTGCAGACTCATGAGGAAACAATGAGACGTGTCATCCATCACCGTAGCCTCCATGACATTTCCAGTCTGTGTATTTCTTTTTCTATTTGAAATCTTTTTTCTAGACGTCATTAACATAAATTTAGTCGAAGTCTTTTTTTTCTCTCTCACTTGGGTGAAGAAAGGCCTGACGGTGAAATTCTTGGAACTGTTTGTTATTATCTTGTCATCAAAGAGGAGGGGTGCGCTGCCTGCCGCGGGTGAGAAATCTAACGAGTCGCTGACGACGCTTTTAATTTGAGACCAGTCACTGTGCTCAAACATTTGGGGTCTGCCTTAATTCATCCCTCCAGGTCTTAATCTTTCCTTTGTCTTCCATTAAACCCCATTTCACACTGCATGATTTTTGGCCCGGCCCTCCAATCATCATCAAGTGTTGCAACTTGCACATAACCCCACCCCCGATTGGCATGTGATTGGCAATCTGCAAAGACACAATTAAAGAGTGCCTCTCCACCGCTGCCTCTCCAACGTGTTACACACTGCTCTGTATTTTCAGCATGTTGTAAATTTGATCAGACTAGTCTTAAAATTCTCTTTCCTCTGTCGAAAACTGAAAGAGAGGAACGGGGAAGAGATGGAAAAACACAACAGTATTTTCTTGTCAAAGTACTAATAGACAAAATGACATCATTTGAAGTACGATCAGGATAATTGGGAATTTTATGTGTACTTGTGCTTATTGTAGTCTGTTAAATACTGTTATTATTTTATTTGCTATTCTCACTAAACAAAATAAACCAGTTGCAATTCAGTGCATTTTTTTCCACTTGAAGAATGAATGAAGAAAATGTTAAAAATGTCTCTGTACTCCCTGAGGGTCCCACCCCCCGCTTTGGGGAACATTGGATTAGTGGTGTTCAATGGTTCCTTAGTGTTTTTGAATTTGAGAAAACCACAAAAAAAAAAAAAAACTGATCGTAACAGATTGGAAAATTGTCAATAATAATAATTCTTTATAACGATGTCATATTTTATATTTTGTTGCAGAATACATAAAAAACATACCCGTAAACCACATCATTCCCTGAAGTAATAGTAATTAAAACAAATTAATTGCTGCAAACGTGTTCAGACGTAACCACACCAGTGAATGCACAATCATGTTCCTGCTTCAGGGCGAAGATTTTTGTTTAACCACATTCAGACTGTCACAGTAGGTGGATTATACCCTGATAAAGTCAAATACACGCTGTTACTTCATGTTGAGATCTAGTTTGGAATTTGTGCCTGAGTTTTTTTCTCTCTTAATAAGATCCTTAAAAGCCCCCGGTTTGAGGCAGTAGATAAATCATATACTATTAATATGGTGAAACTGGAGGATGATTGTCTTCAGTTGTTGTGTTTATCAGCAGCCAATCACGGTTACGTAATGATTGGTGAGAGTTTTCATACTTCAGAAATCACATGAGAGTCTCATGTCAGTGCCTACGGCTGCACCACAGCAGTAGATCTTTAAAACTCTACTAAAATAATAATTTTAGGATTCATTAGCAGCCAGCTGACTATAAGCAACAACTATTAGGCTTCTCTTTCACTTCTTTTGCCACAAACCTCAACTCATTCACCTCCACTACTTTTTGCATCATTAACTTCCCACCTTCCTCACCCGTCTCACCCACACACTCCTGTGCACGTCATGCTAATGTTTTCTCTCTCCTCATCTTTCTGGTGCCTTACACACTCACCAAAGATGAAAATGTCATCCATTGAAGGATAAAGTATTACAGCAGTAAACATGTAAAGTACAGCCTGTGTGATGCTTTTCTTAAATTTTCACAGTGATAGTTCTTCTTTTATGGACAACTCATAATCAACTCTAAAAATGTGAGTGGTTAAAATGTTTGTGCAAATCTGGCCTGAATTAAAGATTCCTAAGATGTGTTTGAGATTATTTTGAAACACATATTGAGCAGCAGCGGGGGAAAAAAAATGGAGCAACTCAAGTTAATCCAACATCGTTAAATCATTTTGTCATTAGCTGAATGCGTCTACATTTTTACCCTTTTTATTCTGAGCCTTTTTCACTGACTCTTTGTTACGTCTTAATATCCATAAAACCGACACAACTGGCCACTGATGGTTGAACTTTGCAGCGTGGTTTGTCTGTTACTTCACGACTTGGACTCTCGCATCTATAGTTCTGCGCTTTTGACACGTTTCCCAACAAAAACAGGACAAACTGTGCCAGAGAAAGATGTTAGGGATGAAGCAGCTGGAACAGAGACAGACAGTGTTCAGTCATCGTCCTGGTGACTCACTGCAGCAGAGAATATGAGAGACAAGGGGGGAGGAGTGGAGGGAGAGGGGGGATGAACAGCCGCTCTGGTCTGGGAGCGAGGTGTGTAAGTACAGGGTAGCAGAGAGACGCTCGGAGAGGAGGAAGAGGAGGAGAGAGTGTGTGTGTGTGTGTGTGTGTGTGTGAACGGGTGGGTGTGCTGCTGTGTTCAACCGATGGTGACTCACTTATGCTCACTCACTGGCCAAATGGATTTTGCGCGGATGTACATGTGCACGCACACATTATACTTGGAGAGTGAAGGACCCCTGAGTGGCCTACAATACTGTGTCAGTGCCACCCACCCACGGTGGTTTCCCGGTCCCATCACGTTAATCTTCTTGTTTGCTGTTATTTTTAAAGAGCTGCCGCTGCTGAGTCATTGTGTTTATGAGTCACACCCATGCATCCTCCTGGTCCAAAAAAATGCACGAGCGCTAACCCATTTCTTTTGACTTTGTTTCCCCTCTCTTTCTCACTCCAATTTGACTTTCCTGATCTCACACAAAGGGTTCTTGTGTGGATTTTTCTCTCTCTCTCTGTGTGTGTGTCTGCACGTGTTCTTTCATGCATATATTTGTGTGTGAGAGTGGGCTAACCTCAAGCTCTGTTTGGAGTCGGTCCCTATTCCCTCCCTGTTTCTCCCTATCTGTCTGACTGCCAGTTCAGCCTATGCAATGCTCTCTCCCTCTCTCTCTCTCTCTCTCCCTCTCCCTCACACACACACACACACACACAAACAAGTATGAATTTCTTAATCCCCCGTAGTACCATAAAAAGTAAATGCTAAAAAGTTGTGCAAAGCTCCTGTGCCCTGTCTTTTTCTTCATGCTGACCTACATCCTGGCAAACCCAGAGTTAGAATCCAGTTTTGTAGAAAAGACTAACAATAGAGAAAACATAAAAAAAGAGAGACAAGAAAGTGGAGAAAATGGTCTGTGGGAGGAAAAGAGGAAGAGAAACAGACGCATGTAGTGACATTGGTAAAAAAAAAAAAAAATGCTGAAAAGTTTAGTTCCTTCTTTTAAACACACAAACACGCAGACACACACTGGCCACACACACACACATACTCACACACACACACTCATGCAGATCCTACCGCCTGCCAAACATCTGGAGCAGAGTTAGAAAACGCTGAATGAGAGAAGCTTTAATAACACTGGTTTGGTCGAAAGACCACGTTCGTCAGCCAATCCAAACAGACAGTGTTGGGTTATCTGTCTCTGAACGGTTATCGAGCGAACACTTTTATTGTCAGTCGTGTTTCACAGCAAAAAGTGGGGACCACACTCGGCGTGTGTCTCCGTGTGCGTGCACTGTCACATGTGCAGGACAGAGTTTCTGCTTTGATTTCCTCTGGTTTCCTTTGGTTTTGCTGGTGTACTCGATGCAGCACTGTTAATTCTCACCACGCCTCCCTCATACCGTACGCTTTAAGGTCAAGAAAAATATTTAGGGCCTCAATATGATGGCAATAAATACTACCATAATATATTAAACCGGGCTTCTATTTTATCCGTCTTTTCGGGGCATGTGTTTGGTTTGGCAACATAAGGTGTGCGTTTCTGCCTCCTCTTTTCAGACGAATAGTTACTTGATAGCACTTGGAGGTAAAATATACCAGGAGTCTTTATTGGCCAAGAATAACAAACGTGCCCGAGCTAGAGCGCTGGTGTGTTTGTAGACATTCAAGAGTGTGTACTGTTTAAAACTGCATTTTTATAAAGTCACAGATTAATGGGAAATATTTGAATGACTCTGTCTTAGGTGGACAGAACCTCCAGTGTCTCCTCTTTGTCTAGTTGTGTGAGTCTAGACAAAGAGGATCAGGGATCAGTCTGTACACACAGAGTTCTTCCCATGAACTGTTGCCTTTAGGTTGGGTTTGTAGCCGGACTCTGTTTCCCACAGCCTCCCTCTCCACAGGCTGCATCAGCACAAATATGCAAACTTTACTCCGGACTTAAGGCAACTGGATCACTGTACGGTACTGTACTGCAGTTTTAAAGTTGATAGAAACACAAAAAAACGTTTTTAAAAACTTAGCAGCTGCTGGTGTTGCATTTAAACGAAGCTTTGACCAAAGGCAGGGATTGGTTGTTTCTCCCCATATTTTGTTGAACTAAGGATTTTGGACTTTGGTTTCTCACTGTGTGCACAGGATGAATTTGTAAAACTATTGGCATAAATAATTCAGGAATCAGGAAGGTACAGCTAATGCGATGGGTTATACTGGCATTTGAAGAGAAATCCTTTTGTTCAGATTTCCAAACTCTCCGTGGCAGGAGTTCAGCGTCTAATTGGCCTGTCTGCAGCACAAATGTCTGTCATATCATGTGGGGCCACTGCAGCCAATGACAAACACAGACTGAATGTAAATAATGCAAGTGATCCGTGTCTTGACTTTGCATTTGTACCAAATCTCTGTCCATATAAATATATAACATATCCTGTGAACACTAACACAAACCTGTCCTTTAAATAGTGCTGATGGTCTCAGTCCAAAAATAAAAAAATACTTTTGGTTTTCATAAAAGTTGCTGACATGAGTGTGACTGATCAGCAATGCTGGTCGTGGCCATAATAACCACCACTACCATCAGAAAGTACCTAATGTTTTTTAACGGTAGTCATTTTGGTTTTTCTCTACTTTTCGAATCCTGCCCTGGAATTTTTGTGAAATGAAAAAAAGAAAACCCGGCCCACCACCTGCTGCAGTTTGAAAAATCTTTCATTTAATTGAATGGGATTAAAAATATTTTAATATATGCGTAAGCAAAAGCATCAGTGGAGGCTTCAGCTTCAGGTCAGAGAAAGGGGTTTTTTTTGGTCATATTAAGGATTCGAAACCACAGCTGTCCTCTGATTACCAGACCAAATATTTAAATCATTTGACACAAAATCAGTCGTTTTATATCTTGTGTTTTTTCCCGCAGCTCAACCAGGAGCCAGATCAACGCCCATCCAACAAACCCAGCCATGTCGGACGCAGCCGAGCAGCCAGCTACGAAACGGAGCCAAGCAGCACTCGCAGACACACTCCCCTCACACACACTGTACTCATCACACACATACGCCGAACACACATCGACACCAGTTGAACGGGGTCAGAAACGGGGGCCCTCATCCTAAACTAGGATCCCTCCCGAGAGGAGGCTCGTCCACGTCCTCGTCCTCCTCGGCAGGGCCGAGACACAGCAAAAGATTGCAGTCCAACCCGTCCATCACCTCCCAGAGCAGCAAGAGGAGCAAGAGCAGCTCCAAGAGCAACAGTTCGCAGATTCCTACAGAAGCACAGGACGGTGAGGACACTGAGGGCATGACGAGAGGAAGAGACAAATACCAAAGCGTGTATCTGACTGTGTATCTGACTGTGTATCTGACTGTGTATCTGACTGTGTATCTGACTCTCTCTTCCGCTGCAGATTGCTGCGTTCACTGTATCCTGGCGTGTCTCTTCTGTGAGTTCCTAACTTTGTGTAACATCGTGCTGGACTGCGCCACCTGTGGGTCCTGTGCGGGCGACGACTCATGTTTCTGCTGCTGCTGTGCGTCGGAGGAGTGTGGCGACTGTGACCTGCCCTGTGACATGGACTGTGGCATCATCGACGCCTGCTGTGAGTCTGCAGACTGCCTGGAGATCTGCATGGAGTGCTGCAGCCTTTGTTTCTCCTCCTGATGGCTCGGCCGCCACCGCAACTCAGCCCCCACAAGCCCAGGAACAACTTTGACCAATATGTCATTAGCGCTGAATGGCCGCAGTCATTGTTGCCTGGGATCCGTGGTTCACATTATACTGGCTGACCCAGTTGGCTCTATAATAAGTCCAATACTTCTTACAGGGTTTGCCAAGTAAAAGATGTGACCTAATGCTAACAGCAGTCACTATTGAACTTTTTCTTTGCTACATTGACGCAGCAACGGGACACTTGGTCCCTGTTTTTGCTGTTGGTCCATTTCTACCCAGCTGGACATGTGTGCAGAGTGAGTTCCAGCTGTGGTCAGTGGGAGCTTGCCAGGCTAACGCCGTCTCTGGACCCTTATTGAACAAATGATTATTATTATTATTGTGCCATTGGAACGACTGGAGTTCTCCAAGCATGAAAAATGACCTCTGAAGGCAAATGAGAAAATGGCTCCATTTAACTGGATTTTAATGTTTCTATAGATAAGAGCAGCAGCATAATGGGAAAATGGACGCTCAGATCTCAGTCCAATTGTACTCTGACCCTCTGTCCTCTGTCCTCTGTCAAGGTTAACGTCCTCTTGTTTGAGTGCAAGCAGTGGACTAGGCAAAGGAGATGATGATGTCAAAATCGCCGCTTTTATGTACCAATAGAAAAAAAAAGAAAAACCTTAAGGGTGGCTTGTGGCAATATTACAGACTGATGTTTGGTTAACGTGCATCTCTTTAAAGGAACTCACTAAAGATTCATGGAAGTGTCATTCATCAAACTGGAGGAAGGATGGAAGAGAGCGCTTTACCACAAGTCCCTTGATGTTTACTTTCAGTATTTTGTTTACTTTAACAAATCTTTTCTTTTTTTTTTCTTTAAAGGGACTTTGACTGTACTCGGTAAATTCTTCCTCGTTTGAACTGGTCTGAACTGGTCTGAACTGGTATAGGACTGGAACAGCATCATCTCTCCTTTCTTTTACACATTTCATTTTCTCTTTGACAATCTTTGCTATGTGAACAAATGGCTCAGGCTTAGCTAAAGGCCTGAATTTTCAAATAGACCCTGTTGCCATTACTAAATCTCTATTAATCCTTATTTTGTAGATTTTAGTTCAGATATTTGCATTTTTTTCTTCCTCAAATGTGAAAATCACATTTCTGTGTTATCGGGTTTTGCCTCTCTGTGAAGCAGACGTTGCTCAGCATCTAATTTAATTCCTGGAGTGAGAATCTCAGCGTTGTACACCCTCTGAGTATGAATGGTACAATTCAGATAACAAACCCACTCGCTCATATGCTGCCACACATTCCATCTCCAAACCAATACCTCTCCAGATGTCACCTAGATCTGTTGCGCCTCGTCGAGTGGCTCGATGCAAATCTCCCTTCCCTCTGATCGAATACTGTTTGTGCAATTCATTTGTCTTTGAAACACTAAAGATTTTTTGCTAATACTGGACCTTAGTTCCTGAACCTAGAACTGCTTGTACATAGAAGGGTTTTTTCTGCGCTAACATTGCTGTGGTCGATGAAACCCTGTTTTTAAGGACTGAAATCTAACACTGTTGATGATAATACACTATGGCTGTAATTAACCTGATAACACAGAAGCAGATTATGCAAGTCTTGGAAATTCAGCTAACACACTGAGAAGATAATATGACTCCTGACGTCTGTACATATCAGACTGGATCCGTCTCTTTTGGGACGTGTTCACACTTTAATGCAACAGTTTCCACGGCAAAAAAAGAAAAATAATAATTCCTGCACAACAATGCAATACTTAACGATAGGTGAAAAATTGTTACAGAGAGAACTGCATTTTGTACTGGTAGGATATCTGTTATAAAATATTGATTTTTTGTTTTTACAAGATAATATTTCCAGAATTGTTGCTACACTTTCTGAAAAAACAAACATACAGTAGGGATTATTGTTGGAAAGACTGATGGTAAAATTTAGACCATTAGCAATTTTTTCACCAACTAGCATCATTCAAATAGGCCAAAAAAAATGAGAAGATAAAATATGTCACTTAAAATTGAAACAATTTATAATGCTTTTAAATGTTTAGAATCAGAATTTTTGGCCCTTTAAATGTTTACACATACAGCAGGGGAAATGTTTGGACTGCAGGCGGTCTAGAATAGTTTCAAGCCCATGTGGGTCGGTCCAATTTCTTAGCACTGTAATAATGTAATACCATCAAAGACAGTGGTTCTAAAAATCAATAACATCAAACATCAAATTACACAAAGTTCAAAGAAAGAAAATAAACGTGCAGTTCTGCCATCATCACTTAAACCTTAAAAATGTCCAGTGGGGCCCGCCCCACACTTTGAGAAGCGCTGACCTAACGTCACAGTTGTGCAAATGCAGCAGCAGTTTCTGCCTATGGGCCATTTTTTGCTGATAATTTGACTCTGATATTTTCTCACAACATTTGAAACAGGGTTTTCTTTAAGTCATAGGCAGTCATGTCAGCTTTTGGACTTTTCTTTTTCATTTAGCTGTATTAAACTAGTTTCCTTATTTGTTTGCTTTTTTAGGAAGTGTATCAACTTTTCTGGAAATTCAATTTTTAAACAGTACATTGGTTTGCGGTTACACTCCTCAGAACAGACCAACCAGCAGTACTTGTGTGATAAATATCCTTCATATTGAAGCCGAATTTTTAAAAATGGGTTTCCTATGACTCCTCCTGCAGTGGCCTGGACGTGTCACTGTCTCTCTCTCTCTCTCTCTCTCTCCCTCTCTCCATCTTTCTTTTTAAACATCCTCTATAAATCAACTAAAGGTAGATATTAGCAAACTATCTTTAAGGCTGAGTCATCAGGGCTTCAGTGAATATATTACAGAGAACGTTTTTTATGTGATTCCAATTGGCTTTTCTTAAAAAACAAAACAATAGGTCTGCTGTTTTTTTCTAACCAATCACATTTGACATGTTGTTTCCAATCACTTATGACTGTGCACAACCACAACCCAACCGGAGATCAGGTTTCAGGCTCCTGCCCTCAGTGCTGCAGTGACTTACTCTGCTTCAGCACAAATGGGCAATTTTTAGATACGAAAAAAGTCATTTGTCGTGTCACGTATATATGTAGAATTTTGCTTTTTTGAAATTTTATACATACAGTATGTCAGAATTTCGACAGCACCAAATTGGTAAAGTAAACAAGTGATTGTTACACCAGTTAGTTGCAGTAGTAAAAGTACAGTTATATGTGTTTCGCTGCTAAACTCACTATGTTGGTCTTCACTTTACTGATTTAACTCAGTTGATCACAGGCAGAATAATGACTTCACCCTCAAAGAGTTTGGTGTGTTTACACTGAAAAGAGCTTCACATCTCATGAAGAAGAGAGAGTCTGGAGGCATGCAAAGCACTGATTGGTTGGTTTGGAGTTGGAGGAAACCTTTAAGACATTGAAGTCCCAAAATAAACACTGTTCTTGCACTTAAATCACTGGTCTGGATTTTAAAAGATGATTTGATGATCAATGATTTTTTTTTTTTTGTTCTTGATGCTTTGGTTTACCAGACAGACCATCATCTCATTTCCTCTATCGTAAGGGCGCCCTATATGTCATTTAAGCTATATAATTCATACTGGAAGTTGGTATTTGTACTACTTTTTTTATATAATAATCAGAAACTGAAAATTCTTATAATTAATGATAGGTTCTTATTGTCATTGATTTAGAGCTCTGGCCTCGGCCAGCAATTTGGAATCTCCTGTTACCCAGCTGAATTCTTACCAGACTGTAGTCCACTGTCATGTCAGTCTGTTTACACTGCCCCCATGTAACCGTCATTTGAATTACAGTCCTGGAAGTCACATTAAAGTCTCTTTGTTTATAACTGAATAAACAATGTGAACTCTGTCCAACGTTTATCATCCTTTTCCACATCCATCCTTTTATCATACCCTGCCACAGCAAAGAATTGTGGGCACTTGACCAATACAACGACAGCACGGTGAAAGTGGCAAAGATGGCCGGTTGGAAGAAAACGGGGAATTTGGATCTACAACGACAGCACAGTGAAAGTGGCAAAGATGGCCGGTTGGAAGAAAACGGGGAATTTGGATCAAATGAAAGTGAGTCACTCAAAGTATTTAAAACAGTAACAAAAATGTTAACAGTTTATGAATTTCTACTACAAAGAGATTTAGATTCAAATATCAAATGTTGTGAATTATTTAGATAAATGTTAAGATAATGTCCTCTAAGAGTCCAGAAAAAAAAAGCCCTGGAAAACAAAAGCCCAGACAGAGAAAACTGGCTCCATTGAGTGAGCGTGTGTTTTTTGTTTTTCAAAAAGTCGATCAATAGGAATGTACTGTATGTTCAGGCCAATCTACGAAAGTGTGAAGAAATGGGGACATTTTTCTATGTTGTTTTAAAAATGTTCATCCCTTTTTTTATTGACTTTCTGCATTTCATCTTTTAAACACATCTCATCGTTCCACCACAGCAACTTCAGCCGTTCGTATCCCTGTGTCTACTGGATCTGAGGAGCTGGCTTCAGACTCCTCGGTTTCTACTAAAGCCTGAGTTCATTGACATGATGATCGGACTCTGGCTCCGAGGCGAACGCCTTGGTCAGCTACTGTCAGCTACTGTATTCTGTGTGTGTGTGTGTGTTTAAGGGAGAGAAAAAGAGGGAAGGAGATTGAGTGGGACTGTGAGGGATGACTAAGGTTAGACAAAGTGGCAATTCAAACTCCTCAGTGGGTTCACAAACACAGAGGACATCTCTGGACATCTGCAACTGTTTTGCAGGAAGCCATGCTTCAGTCGACCCTCATTTCCTTTTCCATGTCCACACACACACACACACACACGAGGAGCACGCACAACCTCAGCGAATCAAAAACCATATACAGCCCCTCCAGAACCAGCACAAAGCAGGCGCAGGGGACAAGTGGCTATTGAATATTAACCATGAAATTACAAAGGCTGTATTCTAATGGAGGTGATGAGGTCATAAGCTGGGATGGAAATCATAAATTAATACCCCTGACATGACAAGCGATCGCCCTTGGCTCCCACCAAACACAGCAAACCTCCCCTCCACCGCCTCCAACAAAAGTCAGTGTGACACTGAGAAGAAGAAATACTCTGTTTTATTATTAATACCAGGTCAAAGGAAGCCAGCACAGACACAGAACCCATACAATATGCCTGATATGTTTCTGATGTGACTATTGTAGTAAAGGACAACCATCTGACCTTCATGTGCGGCCACATCTATGAGGGTCGTTACCCAAGTGCTCCTCCGAGACCTTGACTACAATGTCAACAGCTTCACATTCTTTGTTATTCATTTGTTGCAACTTCGCACAGTGCTCTGTGAAAAGAAAAAAACTGTTTTTTCCCCCCTTTTACAATTGTGACATAGAGAAATGAGCGCAGCTTTCTGTTGTACGCCTATTGATTCCAGCGCATTCTTTTGCAGAGATCTAAAAAGATTCAGAGGTTTTGAAACAACGGCCTTCAGATTTACTCATTTCCACTCAAGTCAAAGTCGTATCAAGGAATTTCATACAAACAGAAGTTTGAGTCAGACTTCATTGTATCATAACGGGGCATGAATGAAGTTGTCATAATACCCTCGGAGGAGTACAGCTCCACAGATCAATAGGCGCCAACTGCCTGCATGATCCTTTGTATTTCATCGTTCGTATGATGAAGTCAAATACTTGATTTTAGTCCAAGTGACATCACTGGTTCAAATTAAAATCAATGTCGTACAAACCTAAAACAACAACTTCTTTCATCACGCCACCTGCAGGTAAGGTCAAAACCAAAGAATGCCAAGTCTTCGATCTCAGTGACACATTGAGTTCTTTGAACGTTTTGTAGTTTTTCCACTTCAATATGGCATTTAATTAAATTTTCATTATTCACCAAAGATTTTTGTTTAAGAAGAAAAATAATTAGTTTTTAAGAAACTTTTTGGAGTTAGAGTGGTGCAGTGCCAACTGAAAGTTCCGGGTTCGGTACAACCTAGTCACCAAATCCCAGGGTGCATCTGGAATAGCATCTAGCGCCAAAATGTCACTGTGCATACTACCAGCATGGTGACTGATGAAAAAAATGAACAAGCTGAAAGTGATAATTCTTCATTTTAAGAAATTGAGAGAATTAGCATCATGTTCACTTAGACCAGAGGTGCCAAACATACGGCCCGTGGGCTAAAACTGGGCCACTGGGGACTTCATGTTCAGGATATTGTTGTAAAATTAAATTTGACTTATTATTATTACAAATAATAATAACAACAATAATAATATATATACTTGTACTTATCTGGATGAAGTCAAAGGGGAAAAACATGGACAAACATAAATTGTTATTTATAGTTAATTATGTTATGTTTGTACTGGTCCAGCCCACTTAACATCTAATTAGGTTGTATACGGCCCGTTAACCAAAATGACTTTGACACCCCTTACTTAGGCTGAAATTATTTTTTGTTGTTTTTCTAAATCAGTGACAGACATCTCTTCTTTCATGGTCTAATCATGCAGCCAAAGATTAGGAACAGGAACAGATGCTTCCATCATTTTTTCATTATTCACTCAATGGCCACGTGATGCTGGTTCTGTAAATTTCCACAAAAAGTCAGTTGACGGAAGCATCTCGAGACGTGCCTTGAAGTCCGACTCAAGTCAGAATGAAAACAAAATACCTCTGTTGAAACTTTGAAAACACAGATACACTGAAAGGGCCAGTAAATAACTCTGGATAAGGACCGAGAACAAAAATAAAACCACCGCTGGCTGTAAATCAGAGGGAGGAGAGCTCAGTTAAAGCAGCTGTGTGAGTCAGTGGAACTGGTGCCCATGAGAGACTGAGAGGAGATGAAATGACTGGGGGGTGAAGACAGAAGTGGGGAGAGGGATCAGAAAGAAATGCATGATTCTCAAGGTTACTTTTACATCTTATTCAGTCTAAACTACACGATTGGAGATTGAGAGATGTTGTTTTTTTTTGTCTCCTGTCTTTGAATTCATTTAAAGTCTTCATCATCATGTGGTTTGTATCAAATAAAACTCTGGCTCACAGACCACTGGAGTACATCGAACTCACTGGCCGCACTACATGTGATATGAGCATCAATCTCACAGTGGCACACTGTGTTGGTTTGATGCTGGTCTCTGATGCCGTCTCCCCTTCAACACAGCACACCAGTGTTCTACAACAAGTTGAACTGAAGCGAAATTGTGGCACGCAGACAAGCTTGGATCGGCAGCAAAAATGTGTGTGTACTGTATCGAGTTACTCTGGCTGAAGAACTACTGGAGGAACCACAAGCCATGGGCTTCTAGGGAACACACACTTACACACATACGCATTTGTACAAACACATGTGCATCAAGATTTGGCAGGTACAAGGCTTTGTTTCTGTCATGGTCTCACAGCAGCAGCGGCGGCAGCACAGAGGCCTGGAGCGTGGGTGGAGCACACACCCCATGCCGTATGGACGACCATTTTTTCATGTGTGCTTTTAAAAAAAAATCCCAGATCATTTGATATGAGTTTTGACGTCAGTTAGTGAGAGAGGGTTGAAACAGGGGACTGCTTTTTAACTGCAGTGAAGGTGCAGCTGCAGTCAAATGAAAATGACTGATTTGTGCTCAAAGCCTCCTTCAGTCCAAAACCACAGTAGCGCTCGATTTCCAATATGTGCCTGGAGTGATGTTCTCATTAGAGATGTCTATGTCCAGTCCTGATCCGTCCCCTCCCCTTAACTCCATCCCTGCTCCGCCTGAACAAGGATCATACATCTTCTTTATAAGATGATGACAGATAGATTAATCTAGTGCGCTGGATTCTTCCGCAGTAAGAGCATCTGTTAGATAATGAATCGCTGATGGATCACCTAAAAGATCCAACTCCCAGACACAGTAAAGTCATTGACTTTGATGCATGCCGGTGGTGCGATCGGCGATGCACGATCAATGGGGGATGCTGACTCAATATCAGTTTAATCATTTCGGTCACCAAGCGGAATAACGTTGTTGAAGTTAAAGTTGTATTTAGAGGCTGCAGATAAGGCATAGATACAACGTCAGCACCGACTTCACCAAGTGCAGTGCTGTGTAGGTATTTTCCAACACCAGTGTCTAAACCTGGGTGGAGATTCATTTTGGTTCAAGGGCTGCATCTATTTAGATCATTTTACAAAAAAAATATCCTGAACAAGAATTGTTTGTGTAATTTGTTTTATTTGTTTTAAAAATCATAAACTGGGCCGGATTGAACTGCAGGCTGGTTTTGGTAGTGGTTCAGTACTATATCCTGAATCACCTTTCACACTTGCACTAATTTGAAGTTTCGGCTTCAATTCCTGGGAGGAAGTGCACAAAGATTGTGCCAATTCCCTACGCTGATCACTCCTGATAATTATCTATAGAGAATTAATGGTTTTGTTGCAATGACCTGGTTTACAGCTAACACCAACATCAGATATGATCTCACTAAAAGCTAACTCAAAGAGTCCAAGTGGTTGTGTTTATGAACCCAGAACCTGCAGCTTTACAATAGTATAAATATAATAGTTGTACAATATACTTAGTAGCACAGTTCCTAACAATCCAACTCTACTACTAATTGGTGCAATAATTACAAAACAACTTTACTTCAACGCTGCTCTTTCCTTTGGTTTTTCAGCCGTTCCAATCTGAACTAACTCTCTGCAGATCAACACACCATCAACTATTTTCTGTGGTCCATTAAAATGACTGAGGAGATTAATTCCATCTGTACGTACGGTTTATTTTTCATCAAAATTCCTGAATACTCTACCCTTAATATAAATTTATAATACTGGGGCTGGTTTTCAGAGAAAACAGTCTGAGCCCGTGCTAACTG